GTATGTATGTATGTATGTATGTATGTATGTATGTATGTATGTATGTAATCATCATGGACAAAATAAATACCAAATGTTAATATTCTTGTATTATGACAAGTAAAGAAAGGAATGATTACGTTTCTGCAGAAAAAGACTGATAAAAAAGGACATTAAGTAAAAAAAGAATTCTGTTAAAGATAAAAAAAAATCTAAAAATTTCCTTTTTTCTCTTTATTCATGCATGTGTGTTTTATAGTCAATTATTCTAGAGGTAACTTTTTCAGTAGATCTGATTGTAAATCAAATAAACTGTGGATTCACGCTGAGTAAAACTGTACTAACTTACTAACATGATACTGCTGCAACGGTTTTGCAAGGTTTTTGCGCTTTTGTGTTTTTCCACATCTTGAAGCATGACAACGATTTCGATTTTTGAAAAGTAATTATTTGATGTTTGATTGGGTAAAGTAAATGCTATTATATTTGCTTGTAAATGTGGATATAGCAACCCACATCAATTCTTATGCATACAAAAACATTGTACCTACTTTTTTTGTAAGTAACAATGTTGATTTGAATCAACCTGGCACTACATAAAAAGGTGGAAATCATAAATATAACCGGACAGTCTTGGTGAGAACCCCATTATTGCGTCATCCAGTGCCTATGTTGTACCTTTAAATATGTCACTGTCTGTGCTAAAGGCTTCTTTACTTTCTTTTTCAGTTTCAAATTTCAACTCATCACTTGTTTCTTGTTACCTACAGTATTTGTGAATGTGCATCCACTAGTCCACTCTTTTCAATTAGTCCTCCTCACTCCGTTATCTGGCGCTGTTGTTTTGGTCGGATACTGCAGTTCTGTCAGCCTTTCATGGACATCACAAAAATGAAAAATGGACTCTCCCGAACTGGTTCTAAATCAACACTGCTCTGTAAATATAATAAAAGTATCAAGTTGTTACCATATTATTCAGAATTTCAGCCTCAGAAAGACTGAACATAGGTAGTTTCTACATGGATAGAAATCATTAAAAACACAACACAACTGTTTTGCTATATAAACAATTAAATCACAACTTGATTTAATGTATTTATTTTTAAGAAAATACAAAAAATACTTGCTATTTTACCTATTTCTGTGCACTTGTTAAGTGAAAAAGCAGCTTTAATGTGTATAAACTCTACTTGAGTTTTGATTAATTACAAATGTGCCGCGGGGCAACCTTTAACATGGATTGAAGAGTCTTTACTAATGAGCACTTTTTTCACTTTACCAGTGTATTCTGAAAGCAGTTTGTTACCTCATGTTTAAATGGACAGTAAACGATTAGTGTTGTAAATTTCACAATTAAGAAAACCAAACAAAGACTGTTCCAATGACACTGAATTCATTATCTTTATGTGTCAATGCAGCTTATGTCTGTTCTGTTTTTTACTATTCATTGGGATACTTGGCTTGCAATGTGGAAATTGACTAAATAAATGCCTCTTATTGTTTTGTTGTTGTTGGAGGAGGTGCTTAACATAATGTTTTAAACCATCAAGCATGTTGCCTGTATTTTTTTTTAAGTATGTGTTTCATTGGTTTTCAACAACAAACAGGCCATGATAAAGTATCAAAACAACACTACACCAATAAAACCAATAACCAATAAAGTAACCAGTAATAACCGGTAAAGTAGCTGCCAAAAGACTATAGCAATAAAAACAATGAATTAAGAAAATAAAAGAATAAAAAAAACAGGAAACACAGGATGGGTCATATTTGGCTCAGAGGTTCAGAAGAAAAATAATTTGAAATAATAATAATCAGGCAGAAGACTCAGTAAAAAAAAAGATAATAAGTAATTGAACAACACAGTGTTGTGCTTGTTATTTTTAACGAGCAATATTATAGCCTTGCAAACATATTGAGTGCTTTTATAATTGGAAGAAAGAATTACAAAACCCTATGAGAGTCAAACCGAGTCACAATGAAATTAGTTTTAATCCAAACTCAAATCTTGTGGGATACTGTATTATACAGAGTGTATACACAGTTATTAAAAATGACAGATGCTGAAATTGTGGTCAATATATTATTTTGGCTTTTCATTTCAACATACACCCCCATAAGATGTTTGGTGGATTTCTGACATTCAATCCTGTTCATAAACAACGCGCCGGCATCTGATTCCATGACTTTATCTGAAATATGATGTAGTGGTTTTCTTTTCAACCATGTATATAAACAAAACAAACAAACTCTTTAGCTCCCCGTGATATAGGACTTGTTAACATGCTGAGCCTATAGCGTAAATCCATGCCATGCAAAGCCTGTTTCCTTCTTATTTATTGTGAATTAGCATATTTCTTATATTATCTCTACTTTTGTTGAAAATCTTGGCGGATTTGCATAGCACAATTGCTGTAAGTCATTTCGGTGTAATACTTGGTTCCTCGATGAGAAATGCAGCTCTAAGCCAGAGCAGATACTGGAGCTAAAAACTGCTTCTTCGTAGTGCTGACATTGATATGGTTTTCCTTCTCTCCCTGAGAAGCAATTGAAAATCTCTGTCCCGGTGGCCAAGTTTTACATAAGAGAATGACTGAGTCACATCTCACTCCCACAATGCTGACATTCAATCACTGAGCCATCCTGTCCTTTCACTCTTACACTGGCTGTATGTGTTAACTGATTATAGACTGATTGTACTTCTTTCATCTCTTTTCAGGAGAAAGCTTTGGCCCTTCTGCTAGAGTCACTGTGGATTTATTTATTGATTTTTTGCCAATTTAGCCTTTTTGACACTCGTGCTTTTTCTGATGTACTATCAATATAGAGTATGAGCTTGTGGGAGATTAGGGGGAAAATGTCAATTGTAAGAAATTGGACCGTACTAAGAGATTTAGTTTTTTTTTACTAACCTCCCGAGACCTAGCTTTTATTGGATGTGCATTTTTGCTTTCTCCAAGAAAAATGGGTTTTCTTTGGGCCGAATAAGTTTCATAACTAGACTCTGTCATGGTTCAGGTAGTTTTCCCTGTTAGGGACAGAAGTTTTATCTTTGTAATGAATTTGTATTCATGTGTTTAATGTTTTATTTTTTAAATTAAATTTAATTCAACATTTTGATTACTTTAAAAAATGGTTTTGAAGGTGCACATTACTTAACAACAACATTTAATTTCACAATAGACACATGACTGGTTGAAAACATATAAAGCCATTTTATTTTAGATTTCAAACATTAGTGTCTATTAGTATCATGGTACAGTGAGACAAAAATACAATGTCCTCATATCAGGAGACAGGGTCTCAGGAGGCTAAAATTTGAGTAAAAGAAAGAAAGATAACAGCAGAATTTCAGGAATCTTATTAAACTGAGTGATTATCAAGTTCTTTTAAATCATTTTATGTTGAGGACTTCAATGCACAGTAGTGCAAAACAGAAAATAAATACGTGAAAATAAGTAAAGGCTAATCTCATCATTTCAAGTCTGACAAATTAGTAGTTAAAGATTTCAGAACAACATGGAAGTGTTTGCCATGATTGATTTATAATTGATATATAATTTCATCCCAGCACTAATGACAACTTGTACATCACTGAGATGCCAATGGTTTAAATTATGCTTTGTATGGATTTATGTTGAACACACATTAAATTAAATTAATTGATGTATTATTTACTTTTATTTTGTCTATTTTCTATGGTAACTCTGGGTGTAAAAATATGATAAAAATGTATTAACTATCCTCTACTGTTTTCATTTGCTAAGTTCTTCCTTCTATCAACACTGTCTTAACCATCTTTCATGCTAGTTCATTTTTTAAATATAAAACTTTCTTATCGTGATACAACAAATAAAATAAAAAAAATCAAAGTTGTTTAATTGATATTAAGTGTTTAATTTAAAATGCAACTTTGTCATGTCATACCAATATCAAATGTAATTTAAACAGCGGTAATGAATTTTTTCCAACTTTAGGTCGCTCAGGTATAAATATCTGAACAAAGGCGACCATTAATTATTGCAGCATTTTCATCACCGCTGTTTGATCACCTCCCTTTCCTTTGTGCTTCAGTGCCATCCTTTTGGGGACTGGTGAACTCGGCCTGGAACCTGTGCTCAGTTGGAAAGAGGCAGTCGCCTGTCAACATTGAGACCAGCCACATGATTTTTGACCAGTTCCTCACGCCCATAAAACTGAACACGGGTGGACGCAAGGTAAACACACACAAATACAAACACACACGCACATACACACGTGATGGCTGGGGCCTGTTTGCCTGGCTGGCCCCTAGCTGCCTGTTTGTGGTAAGTCTACTTTTGTTTTATTTGCTCCCTGAACATGGCTTACTACACTCACTTAGTGTGATTGTGTTGGTTGCACCTTCAGAGCTATTGGAGGTTGATAAGGTGTGTGTGTCCCTGATCGATGCTCTTGACTGCTGTTTGTGTTGGCAGACAATGTGAGCTATTTGTCTGACAAACGCTCTTCTGGAGATAAAATACAACATCAGTCTCCTGTTTAAAGATAAACGAGGTCCCTGTTCTGTTTAAAAGAAATCTTGGACTTCATCCTGCGGCTTTAGGAGACAATATCCTATTCTGTGGATTAGCGGGACATATTGTTTGTGATTTCGTCCTGTTTAGCGGTACACCAAGGACAGAAAAAAAATGTTCCATTCTGTGCCATATGACAGCAGCTAATTGGGAAGCCTTCACAGATGGGCCGTCTTCAAAAGTGCTCAGTTGCATTCTGATATTAGTGTTACGAGTGGTTTATGTTTACATACCAGCAGCGAGTGCAGGTTTAGCCTTGAGCAATGAGAGAGCGTATAGGATGCGGATTACCACCCATGGTGCGTTTCTGCTCCAGCCTTCTTCTTACAGATCTTAAAATAGACCTATGTATAGTCATTGAGCTCCCTTTTGATCTGGGTTTCAGTTTCTGCTTTATGGTTAGACTTTTAGAATTGACTGGAGATCCATCTGTTCTCAGAGAGAATAATAAAATCATAAGGAAACGGGCAATCAGAGTAGTAAGCTCACATGGTGTTCCACCTGCATGATGTCTTCTCAAATTGAAAAATAGATTGAATAATTCCTCTGTGTCTACCTTCAAGGACTCCATAGTGAGAGCAGCAACCCTGTGGTGTATTCAGACATGCGACATCTCTTACAATGGTACAATTTCATTTTCAGGTTAAATCCTAGAGAATGACAAGGGAGCAGGGGAGAGATCAAGACAGAACTCTTATACTTAAGATTATATCTCAGTGTCAGCATTTTAGAGATATGCCACCTTGAAACTGCCCCCATTACAAGGAATGAACACTATGTGGTGATTTGTTCAGACACAGCCTGAAACCCGTCCCTGTTCACTGTCCTTGAGCAAAGTCTGGGAATCGTGAGTGGTTTGTGTCCACTTCGAACGACTATTACAGAGGGATTGAGAGCGTTTGTGATCCACAAAAAAGCCCAATAAATAACAATTAAAGTTAAACAGTAAATGAGGTGGTCGCAGGGTCTTGTAAGCATCAGCAAATGGATTGTGTTGGTAAAGAAAGATTTTCAGAGAGTACTCTATTAGGGTTACGTCAATTTGTTTTCACCTCTTAATAAAATTCATGAGAACACACTGTTGCAGCAATATTTGTTACCTAACAGCACGTAACTTTTATAATAAGGGATTTCTATCTCTATGGTCACAAATAAATGGTCAAGCTTATTTTCACAACAAACTGTATCTTTGGTTGGTTTTACTGCTGACATTTCTCCTCACTGATCCTGCATTTACTTCCCTTTTTGCCATATTTTTACCGTATACAGCCGCCACTACACTGTGCTGTCACACAGTTTTCACACATAGGTGAGGTCAGAGTACCATTTAACTCACTTATAAGTTGGTGCAATTGCAGTACTATCGGAGCTTTTGACAACATATAGGGTAGTCTTTTATTTAACAAAATCACTGAGTATGTTTAAATCCACACTGTAGATTATCATGCAAATGATTGAAGTAAATTTGCATCAGTAGAACATATTTGTCTTGTCCAAAAGGATTAATAAACATTACCTTCACCATCCATCAACAACATAAAGAAGATTGTACCTGGCAAGGCATACCTATTAGTTATTACAGATGGCTTAAACAAATGGCAACTTGGCATCAGTAGCCCCAATAAATTGGACCACTTTAGAATTTAATTAATTTGAATTGATTGGATTTGGATGAGGATTGTCTTGTAATTATTTGGATTCTAGTTAGCCTGAAATGCACTACATTTTTTAAGTGTGCCTAGATTGAGATTATTTAATTTGGTCAACTGTCAAACTGAATTCAATACAACATTTTGAATAAACTCAATTGTGCATGTAAAGTAGATGCATGCTATTTGTAACATTTATATGTAATGTAGGCTATTTTCAGGTGTTTAGAATTACTTTGATAAATAATCTAAATGACTGCTGTCAGTCATTCGTGAAGTATTACTTTAGTTTGTAATATGATGGCTATTTAAAATAGATTATTAATTCATTTTCTATGGAAGTAAAGTTCCAACTGCCCCAAATATTTTTCTACAATTAATTGAAAACATTTTTTATTGTTATTGATTTGCATAACATTTTTAGTGATTCCAACCTTCTTATCTATTTGTAAGAATTTTTTTCTAAAGCCCAAAAGCCATTTTTGACTTTTTTTTGGCTTCCCCCCCCTTCCGCATTGCCCGCAGTGGCACAAATGTAGTATGTTGTGTCTCCATCTCTCTGAGCACCTGAGCTGTCAGCTGCTGAACACAAAGCCCGCTTGGGCTTGTCAGTGCTGATTCATCTGTGCTCTGTCTGTTTGGCGCCCAGTCAGCCTTGGCCAAACACGCAACGGAGGCCGGTAAAGAGCTTCCGCCACCGCTCGCTTCGACTCAACACAGAGAGAGCTTAAGCCTGCTTTCTGCCCTGGAGGGAGGCGAGCAGGAAAGATTAACCCTCCCAATCCCCTTCCCCTCATCCTGTAATACACAACACAGAGATGAACAATACACAGAGAAGATGAACACCTCTTTTAATAGATTTTTTGCGCTGCATAATATGGCTAATGAACAGTTAAAGCAAATTAAATTGACCTCCAAAGAGAAATTTTAATTAACGACAGGGAGACATAGAAGGCCATGTGCGATGGATTGCAGGAATCATAGTTATTAAAAAGGCATTATTAATTGAATATTTACGCTTCCATAGATGAGCTGCAATTACTTGAAGAGATTTTAATGAATTTAATCACTTTGGAGCCTGGGAGGAGAAAGGGGTTTATTTTTTACAGCCCTCTCTCATGAAGTGTTTCTAGCAAATTTATAGATAATCCTTCTGGAACGATACTCAAAGAATTTTGCACCCTTTGCTTGCTTAACTTTCCAAGATGAATACATACTAACTAATGTATAAGAATAACTATGTACTGGTTCTCCATTGGGGTTGTCAGACTATCTCCCAATTTTATTAAAGTATTGGTTGCAACTGAAAGACAGTGTGAGGCAAAAACTGCTTTTATACAACTTCTGGGCCCATTCATTATTTTGTTGTTGTTGTCATTTGTATATTATGGTTCAGAAGATTTGTATGCTGAGTCAAAAGTGTCATTAAATATGGACAGTTTTTTAGTGAATGTTTTTCCCACGATAAAAATGAAATAAAATTCAAATATTGTGATGACAAACCCTTATATGCTGGCCCTTAATCATCATATAAAGCCAAACAGAGCAATAAAAAGTGAAAATAAAACACCAATAGCACCACACTTGACAACAACAAAATGAGGCAAATAAATAAAATAAATAGATAAGTCCATGTGACGATGAATATAAAGATGTAAAAATGAAACTTACTCATTGGAAATTTCACATGTATATACTCACATTTTGAAGCACTTTCTTCGGTTTCATATTGGACATGGACGACCACACACGACCAATTCTTACCAATTTCGGGATGCTGCAATACACATTTTGTACAGGCCTGGTGCTGAAGCCATTGAACAATATATTACCTCATAAAATACAGACAGAAGGTCCCGGTCTCCCGGGGATTTCAACTGGGAACCTTCTTTATGTGAGGGTTTACTCTTTGCTAATGCCAAATAAAACAAAAGTGCAGGTTGTTTCAATACTTACATTACATTTTCAACAGTGGACCCTATATCCATAAAAGTACATTTTTCCTTTATTTTGGCCCACTCATTTGCTTTATCACACATATATGTGAAACTGGATGTTGTTTAAATCTTTTCTTTTGTTGTGCATTATCAGCCAAAATGGTTCTTGATATGTTGGATGATCCTCCTGGCAGATGTACAATAGTTTTACTGAAAACATAAGTGATAGGAAATTTCGTCTGGACACCCATAGCTCATGTTGGTAGCTCAGAGATAAAACCATCCACCATAAGGTGCTGGCGGAGAGCAATCTGTAAAGTAGTGCAGTGTTCTGACACAGATAGAAGTGTAAACATAGAGACATCTGTGGTGATCAGTGATGAGTGATCGGCACTGAACTGTTGAGGGACAAACATAAAGCACCCAGAAAGCTGGGGAAAATACTGTGAAAATCTTATTGATGATGGCCGCAAAGCTCATTTAACACCGGATTTGTCATGCTTGTTATACTTGTGTCTGAGTTGTAAAGACTGGCCGCAAATTAAAATGGCAGTTCAATTATAGCCTCTTTTTATCTGTCAGATATTATGATTTTCTGTCAGAACTTATATACGTAAGGCTAACTTTATAATTCAGTAAAAAGCTTGAATATCTGGATATGGGAAATCCCTTTTCTTTATTGACAAAGCGTTATTACCTGGAACAAGGAAGACAGATTTTATGTTCTATATGTTGGACTGAAACGTCACTGTGCTTGGATGTGAGGAATAAAAAACTATTCCCTTTGCTCCTGGCACAGTTGTGATATTGGCTGTCAGCTTTCAATCGCAGATACAGCCAGTCACAGTCACCCACCTGTCGTCATTCAGATCAGGGATTAAAATCTAAATGGAAACTGACATTTCAAATGTCTAAATTCTGGGGGCTTTCGCACAGAGTCAGCAACACATGTTTTCCAATGACGGGGATAAACTATATTGGTAGATTGGTGCTGTCTCATTTAAGAGACTGCATCATATCTATATATATATATATATATATATATATATATATATATATATATGTGTATGTAATG